CCCTTGGTTTGGACTAGGGGGCTGTGAACAACAGGGCACACCAAAGTTCTGTGCTGAAACTCCCCCTTTGGATGCTGCAGGCGCAGACTAAAAGGTTCCTCCTTCACACTAATATATTCCTGCTTGAAGAGGGCTATGTTATTGCTCACTGGGAATCTTTAGTTCACACCTGCAGCACACACACAGGGAAGTTACTGTGTAGCACTTTGGTGCACATTGCTAGTCACATCCCTGTAGTCCAAACTGCAGGAACATGTAGACAAGACCTTAGACTTCAGAATTCCTCAGTCACTTCTGAAAATGGAGCTTGGGTTCGTTAGTCAGTTTAGTGCTTTAGAGAATATTATTGATAGGCATTACTGATGGGAATTTTGCTATCTCCACATAGTGAGTTTTGGCTGAAATAGTCCTAAAACAGTTCCCAACATACATGGAATTTTAAAAGAACGCCTTTAAAAATGAAATAGAAAATAGTAATTTTTTTTAAAAAACTGAATAAAATAAATAATTTGAATGTACAAACTACAATGACAACAGATAGTGTTAAGAAAACAGAATAGATAGATAGATTTCTAAAATTCAAATTCTGACAACATTTTTATAAAAAAAAATAGGATAAAATGAAATCTCAAAAAAAAAAAGGCAATCAAAACTGTTGTGATTTTATTTCCTTTTTTTTTGTGAACTCTTGTTAGAGAGAAGATGAGGAAAATTAACTGTTTATTCTGGCCAAAGGAAGAGGATAATGTTGAACAATGCCAATGTTAGATGTTTTAAACCTCGAAATTTCCTTCCAGTGAAGTTTGTTATGAGGCTTTTGTATTCCAAGGCAGTGGGAGACACATCAACTGAATAATTTAAATTTACTTCAGGTAAAGTGAAGAACAGAATGATAGCTGATTGTTACAATTAATAAGAGACAATGTGACTTCGCCAGATTATCCATTAAGTTACACCAGTTTTATGCCATTATAACTCTAAAATGACACCAGTGGAGTTATATCAATGGAAAACTGGAGACAATTAACTGAATGATCCACAGAACAAGAATGTGAAGTATGCAGGGACTGTACTGAAAGGCAAAGTTTTGCACTGTGAAGAGTAAATGGAGAACACAAGGTGAGCTTTCCATCTGCAAATAAGATGATTTTATTTCAGTTGGAAAGTTCTGGTTAGCTTTGATATGGGTGCATTGCAAGTAGAATCTCTGATATGACCTGGATACAGGTTCTAGAAGCCATCTCTTTTCTTGTGCATCAGTTCTCATGGGCAAGAGATCTGTGTTTTCCTTTCAGCTACTCCAGGGTCTGATGTGCTGCTTCCTTCATTTCACCTTGTATCCATGAACAAAAAGTGGACTTGTCATCAATTCGTTATTTAATCTTTATGTGAGAAGGCAAAATCTCCCTTGACACTTCCACTGATGAGTGTTTTAATGCAGTGAAAAGGAGAAATTACTAATATAGTTACTATTGAGACAATGGAAACAGCAATATTAATAGAATCAAAACACTACCCTTAAAGGAGAGGAGAACTGCTAATCTCAAAGGAAATAGTTCTGTTTACTGGGTAGATGGTGGATTAGAGTTATGGAACTTGTGATATAGTAATTCACCAAGCAGCAATGCTTTCATGCCTGTCCTTGAATTCCTTTATGCACTCTGTTGGTGGATATATTATGTGTGATCTCTGGTGTTAGAGTGTACCTGGTGGATTATACATGTCTGGAGGATGGATGAAGTGGGGGAAGGTGATATCTATTTTCATTGACTCAAAGGGCTGGGATATTGAAAGCTGCCTAAGGGAACAGCCAACAGAACCATGTGAGTAGTTTCCTAGGAGAGGAAGATGGGATGGACATGGCCCAAGATTTGTTAATCATGTCACTCATCGCAGAAAACAAGTACAATTCAGGTTGGGGTGTGGACTAAAGAGGGAACACTTCAGTGAATCTCTTTCTTGTCTTCTGAATGTGAAGAGAACCAGGAGGTGGGCAACCTACTCAGCTAGGCCCGGATTCTTAGGCTATGATTATGTTTCTGGCTTTCCGCATGTGGAGCAGCAGGTTTTGCCTCACTATCATCCACACTCAAAGCCCTTCAATGTGCATTAAAGGAAGTGTTAAACCCTCTGGTGATATGGGTCAGGGCCAAATAGCCATAGACAAATTCAGAATGGAAGTAAGGAGTAAAATTTAACCTCAAGGTTAATTAACCATTGGAATAATTTGCCAAGCGTGGACTCTCCATCACTGGTGATTTTTAAATCCAGCATTGATATTTTTTCCTAAAAGCTCTGCTCTAGGAATTGTTTTGGGGCAGGTCTCTCGCCTGTGCTATACAGGAAGTCAGACCAGATGATCACAATGGTCCCTTCAGGAACTGGAATCTATGAATTTATGAGAGAAAGTTACCCTCTTTGCAGTGTGGATGTAGCAAAGGTGCGTCAACTTGGCCTCGACTCTCAATAGTCCTCCTCTGCCATTCCCACAGTTCCCTGCATCTGTATGTTCCAGCCCTTCTGTCTGTTCACTTCCACCCTTCAGAAGCTACCAGCTAATTCATATATCCTTACTTGGCATTTAACCCTTCATTTTCCCAAATCAGTATAGTTCATCCCTGCCATCTTGCTAGAAGACATCCACCCCTCACAGTGTTAATCTTGGGTGCGAGTATAATCCAATATATCACAGACAATGATTTCAGGAGGAGCTTCAGATATATCCACCTGAACTGGACATCTATCAGAGCATTGTGCAGTGCAAGGAGTGGATGAAGCATGTGAAGACCCTATACTGAAAGACCAAGATGCTCAATATGTCCCTGCTATGATCAAATCAACATTGTGTTTGCCATCCCACCACCACTGGAATCCTGGGATCAGTCCAGGCTGCCACATGGGCTAGATGGGGTCTTTGGACCATTGTTTGAGGACATGTTCAGGGATGAACACTGGAGAGGAAGTATATCAAGGCCAGGAGACAGAGTAACAGCCCAGTAAGATCCACCAGCCTTCTTTATTATTGTAATTGTCACCATTCAAGGCAACTGCACCTGTATTTCCCCTTCATGGTCCCTCAAAGGCACCCACTGTAGGCTCCTGCCTCCTCAGCCATCACCTCTCTTGGGCAGAGACTCATGTTGCTCTCCCTCCTGTCTGAGGTGTTTCCTGGCTGCTCAAGTTCCCTGACTACACTGTGATAACCCAGCAAGCCCAGTTGCCTAAAAGGCCAGCACCTGCACTTTGCTTTCTCTCTGAAGGCTATTACAGTAGTACCTCAGAGTTACAAACACCTAAGGAATGGAGGCTGCTCATAACTGTGAAATGTTCGTAACTCTGAACAAAACGTTATGGTTGTTCTTTCAAAAGTTTACAACTGAACATTGACTTAATACAGTTTTGAAACTTTACTATGCAGAAGAAAAATGCTGCTTTCCCTTTATTTTTTAGTAGCTCATGTTTAACACAGTATGGTTCTGTATTTGCTTTTTTTTTATTGGTCTCTGCTGCTGCCTGATTGTGTACTTCTGGTTCCAAATGAGGTGTGTGGTTAACTGGTCAGTTCGTAACAATGGTGTTCGTAACTCTGAGGTTCTACTGTAATAACCTAATTACCAGAATTCATAAATTAGAACATAGCTCTTTCTAAGCAAATACATTTATTCTTAAGGGAAAAGCCTTAAAGAGAGAACATACTTAAAGTAATAAAAGAACCTACTCACATGCTAAAATGCTTAACAATAGATCACCCCGACCCCACCAACTCCAACCTTGGGCTCTGGTAGGTGTCAGTCCTTCAGAACCCACAACTGGGTTTTCCCCATGATTACCAGTCCATCAATGTCTCATATTCAGAACCAGAACAAGCATGAATTTTATACAGCACGGGTTTTTGATGTCCAGTCTCTGGGACCAGGTAATCATCAGACAAAGGTTTCAAAAGGCAGGTTTTTTGCATAGCCAGTAGTTATGGGGAATTTGTATTAACCACTTCACTGGCCTCAATTTCACAGACTGCTCTGAAACTCCATACACACAAAAAATACAAGTCCAAGGTGAACCTTTTGGCAAAACATTTTCGGATGAAAAATGGCTTTTTGAACAAAACATATTTTTTTCAGCCAGGTTTTCATTATTTCCAGTTTTCCAACAACAACCAAAACCAACAAACAAAAATCAAAAGACAAATTACTGTTGACATTTTTTTAATTTTGGTTTCCTATAAAAATTGGTTTTCAAAAAATAAATTCAGTTTTTGGTTTTGGGAAATCTGACACATACTTGTTTTCTATTGAAAAACAACAACAAAAAGAATTAGTAACATTCAGAAAAATATCAAATTATTACACGAAATATTACTTGACTGTTCTTACCCACTCCAATTGTAAACCTAGTTAAGAAACATCACCTACAGCCGATATCCTCACTAGGGTTGGTCAGGATTTTTTGATATATGAAAAATTCTCTTGAAATTATAAAACTTTTTTAAAATTAAAAATTAAAACAGTTAAAATTTCAGAAAAAAAATTACATTTTTCAACCAGGTTTCATCCTTACTTTCACCCACTAGCTAAATATGACCCGATACGGACCATCCTGTTTGCATCTCTGACTCAGTAAATCAGCTCAGCTTACCTCAATTTCATTTTAACCTCATAACATTCAATCTAATTTGCTACATTCTTGTGAAAGCCAAACATTTCCTGACAGCTTTTCTCAGGGCCTCCTTCACCTCTTTGTTTCTCAGGCTGTAGATGAGGGGGTTGACCAGTGGAGTCAGAACTGTGTACAAGACAGAGAACACTTTGTTCAGATCTCGCAGTGTGTCAGTTTTTGGCAGCATGTAGACAATCATTATGGCCCCGTAGAAAATTGTAACTACAATGAGGTGAGAGGAGCAGATGGAAAATGCCTTTTGCTTCCCGGTGGTAGAAGGGATTCTCAGGATGGTAGATATAATATAAACATAGGTTGCCAGGGTTAATAGAAATGGGGGCAGGGTAGTTATAAATGTCAGCATGAAAGTGACGAGTTCCATCATGTGGGTGTCACTGCAGGATAGCTTTATTATTGGGGTGAAATCACAAAAGAAATGGTCAATTACACTGGGGCCACAAAATGTTAATTGTGATATTAAAAATATGATGATGATGCTAACTAAGAATCCAGTCATCCAAGATCCAGCTGCTACTTGGCTACAAATTGCATTATTCATGATGGCTGCATAATTGAGTGGGTTACAGATGGCTAAGTAACGATCATAAGACATTGCAGATAAGAGATAACACTCAACAGTCACTAGGAAACCAAAGAAATAAAACTGTGCAATACAACCACTGACAGAAATGGTTCTGTCCCCAGTCAGAAGACTGACCAGCATTCTGGGCAGGATGGTGGAGGTGTAGCAGGTCTCCAAGCAGGACAGGTTCCCCAGGAAGAAGTACATGGGGGTGTGAAGGTGCTGATCAGTCACAATTAGCGCCACAATGAGGATGTTCCCAGTGACAGTCACAATATAGATCACTAGAAACAGCAGAAAGAGAAGGATCTGGAGGTCAACAAGATCCCCGAATCCCAAGAGGATGAACTCCGCGACAGATGTTTGATTTCCCTGCTCTGTGTCTGCCATGGATTGTGTCTAGGGCAAAAACAAAAAAAGAATATATTACATCATTACAATCTGAAGGAGATTAACTCTATTGCTGTATCATCAAATAATTCAATAAATGTTCTAAACCTGCTTCACCCAATTTTTTATTGTGTCATTGACTTAGTTGAGGAGACAGACTAAGTTCCCTAATTGGAGAATTGTTCTGAATTCAATAAGAGGAAATTCAATAAATATAAGTGCAAAGTACTACATTTAGAAGGAAAAAAATGCAGAACTACAAAATGAGGAATAAATGGCTAGTTGCCAGTAGGACTCCTGAAATGGACCTGGGGATTATAGTGGATCACAAATTGAATATGAGTCAACAATGTGAAAAGGACACAAAAAAAGGCTAGTATCATTTTGGTTTGTATTAACAGGAGTCTTGTACCTATGACACAGGAGGTAATTGTCCTGCTCTACTCAGCACTGGTGATGCCTCAGCTGGAGCATTGTCTCCAGTACTGAGCACCACACTTTAGGAAAGATGCAGACAAATTGGAGAGAATCCAGAAGAGAGCAAAAAATGATAAAAGGTTTAGAAAGCCTGACCTAGGAGGAAAGGTTAAAATAACTGGGCATGCTTAGTCTTGAGAAAAGCAGACTGAGAGGGATCTGATAACAGTGTTCAACTATGGGGAAGGGCTGTTATAAAGTAAAGTAAAAAATTGTTCTGCATGCCCACTGAACGTAAAACATGAAGCAATGGGCTTAATCTGCAGCAAGGAGATTTAGGTTAGATATCAGAAAACTTTCTAACTCAAAGAGTAGTTTAGCCCTGGAACAGGATTCCAAGAGAGGCTGTGGAATCCCTACCATTGGAGTTTTTTAACAACAGGTTGGGCAAACGCCTGTCAGGAATAATCTAGGGGGCTGGATTTGATGCCTCTTTTAGCCCTACATTTCTATGATTCTGTGAATAACAGTATTTGAATCAGGGTTGGAATTTCAAAGTCAGTGGAATTTGGGCACTAAACACCTTTAGGCACTTTTGAAAATCTCACCCCTGGTGAGCTAAGACTACCATATCTCTTAACCACCAGGGTTGTCTCATTGTTTCTTTGTGCTTCCCTCTCAGTGTTGACTTGCAGTCTATCAGTCTTACAATAAAGCCCCAATCCTGCAAACACTTACGCACAGGATTAAATTTACTACTGTGAACAATCCCATTGATTTTGCTCTCTGGAGCAAGGAGCATCTTTTTGTTCTACATCTGTACAGTGCCTAGCACAGTAGGGTCCTGGTCCATGCCCAGGGAGCTACTGTAAGACAAAGACAGCTAATAATAATAATAATTATTATTATTATTATTATTGTTGTTGTTATTGTTATTGTTATTATAGGTGCTTTTTGAAAATAATAATAATAATAGGTGCTTTTGAAATTTGTACCCCAACACTGATCAAAGGACAAACACAGGGACTCAAGTCTTTTCAGATACAAGGGTGCAGAATATAAATTCATAGAAAATAGATTGAAAACCAAGAGGGTACAGGAACAAAGAAGTCACTGAGTGAGAGAGAAGGAGAAACTGAGGGCTCATCTACACACAACATTTGTACCACACTGGTATTGTTAAAACTGTACAACCCGCCCAGTGCAGATGCTATGATACCCGTATGAAGGTGCTAAGTTATTACCAATCTGGGGAAATAAGCTATATCAGTATTAGACACCTTTATATCCATATATCAGTGTCCACAGTAGGAATTGTAGTGTTAATGCTATTTAAGTAGAAAATTACACCCCTAACAGAAATACAGAAATAGATGCAAAAACTCTGGGTAGTCCAGGTCTTACTTTTTTTTTAAACCCTGATTTTACAAGAATGAAAACATGTGTTTGAGGGGGAAAATGACAGTCTTGTGGCTAATGGAAATAATGGAGAGCCGATAAAGATGAGGTGTGCTCTTTGTTCTTTCCTTACATGTGTCTTTCTGTATAGCCTCTAACATTGCCCTTTCATCTACTCAGTGTCACAGTATCAGTAAAGCAAACACATTCTGTGTAGCAGGACAGAGTAGGTATGTTTACTTCTCTAAATCAAAGTATTTCATTTAAACTGGAAAGAGTGAACAAAGTTGCTTTACCTATGAGACAGTGGCCAACTGGAATCTTTCAGGTAACTTCTTCATTCAGAATCTCAGGAGCCAGGTTCTGTCTTTCTTTCCCTTCTTCTTTGTAAACTCAAATGGACTCACCAAAGAGACCTGCAGAGTTCCGACTGAACAACCCACCTCTGCCATCCATCTTGGCTTCCTTTTATTCTATGTTTTCAATTAAATTAACATGCCATTCTCCTCCTCCTTCCCACGAGAAGGTTCAAATGTCCCTCTGCATTTCTGCTGATGGGACTACGAAATTACCCGAAAAATGAAAGGTAATAATATGTTTATACTTTAGTTTAGACATAAAAAAATGAGTCAAACTTCCAACCTCAATGGGTATGCAATGAAATAAGGGGAAATTTAACCTCAAAGGTTTCTGACTAGGGGTGTCAATTAATAGCAGTTAACTCATCCAATTAACTCAAAAAATTAAACACAATTAAAAAAAATTACTGTGATTAATCACAGTTTTAATGGCACTGTTAAACAATAATAGAATACCAATTGGAATTTCTTATAAATATTTTTGGATGTTTTTCTACATTTTCAAATATACTGATTTCAATTACAACACAAAATACAAAAGTTACATTGTTTTGTTTTGAGTGCAATTATATAACAAAAAAATCTACATTTGTAAGTTGCACTTTCACAGTAAAGAGATGGCACTGCCATACTTGTAAGAGGTGAACTGAAAAATAATATTTCTTTTGTTTATCTTTTTTACTGTTCAAATATTTGTAATGAAAAATAATAATATAAAGTGAGCACTGCACATATTGTATTCTGTGTTGTAATTGAAATCAATATATTTGAAAATGTAGAAAAACATCCAAAAATATTTATAATACATTTCAGTTGGTGTTGTAATATTGTTTAACAGTGCGATTAAAACTGTGATTAATTGCAATTCATTTTTTTCATCTTGTGACTAATCGTGCATAAGTTTTTAATCATTTAACAGCCCTAGTTCTGACTTAAACTAATAACTTTAGAGGGGAGAAGAAAAGTCCTAGATTCACCCATTTTACCAGGCAATATTGGTATAATTATAGAAAAGGAAGATTATTAATTTGGTCCAAAGACCAATGAAGTCAATGAGTTTCTACCAATTGATTTCAACACAGGGCTGGCAAAAAATGGGCTGCTGAAATTTCTTTTGGACAGAAAATTGGGGGGTTGATTAAACAAATATTATAATGGAAAGTCTCTGCTATCCAGTAAGGAAGTGGTTTTGAAACACAAGTAGGGTAAAACAGGAGCAGCCACAAGGGAAATGGGGGTCAAACAGAGCCACAACTGGGACTCATGGTCATTGTGTGTTGAAGGTAGAAATGGGAGGGGCACAAAAAGACCCTGGCATGGGGGCAGAGTGGAGGGCCATGGAATAGTTGAGGGGGGGAGGGGGATGAAGGGGCATACAGAACCCCTGGCACCATGAGGGAAATGAGGGACAATAGAATGGGTGAGGGGGGAACAAGTGGGTACACAGAGACAAGTAGTGGAAACCTCATGGCCTGAGAGTTAAAATAAATAAATAAATAAATTGGGCAAATCACTGAAACATAGAAACATAGATTGGGAAGGGACCTCAGGAGGTCATCTAGTTCAACCCCCTGCTCAAAGCAGGACCAACCCCAACTAAATCACCCCAGCCAGGGCTTTGTCAAGTCTGACCTTAAAAACCTCTAAGGAAGGAGATTCCACCACCTCCCTAGGTAACCCATTCCAGTGCTTCACCAAACTTCTAGTGAAGAAGTTTTTCCTAATATCTAACCTAAACCTCCCCCACTACAACTTGAGACCATTACTCCTTGTCCTGTCATCTGATACCACTGAGAACAGTCTAGATCCATCCTCTTTGGAACCCCCTTTCAGGTAGTTGAAAGTAGCTATCAAATCCCCCCTCATTCTTCTCTTCTGCAGACTAAACAATCCCAGTTCCCTCAGCCTCTCCTCATAAGTCATGTGCTCCAGCTCCCTAATAATTTTTGTTGCCCTCTGCTGGACTCTTTCCAATTTTTCAACATCCTTCCTGTAGTGTGGTGCCCAAAACTGGACACAGTACTCTAGATGAGGCCTCACCAATGTTGAACAGAGGGGAATGATCATGTCCCTTGATCTGCTGCCAATGCCCCTACTTATACAGCCCCAAATGCCGTTAACCTTCTTGGCAACAAGGGCACACTGTTGCCTCATATCCAGCTTCTCGTCCACTGTAACCACTAGGTCCTTTTCTGCAGAACTGCTGTCTAGCCATTCAGTCCCTCGTCTGCAACAGTGAATGGGATTCTTCTGTCCTAAGTGCAGGACTCTGCACTTGTCCTTGTTTAACCTCATCAGGTTTCTTTTGGCCCAATCCTCTAATTTGTCTAGGTCCCTCTGTATCCTATCCCTACTCTCCAGTGTATCTACCACTCCTACCAGTTTAGTGTCATCTACAAACTTGCTGAGGGTGCAGTCCACGCCATCCTCCAGATCATTAATGAAGATATTGAACAAAACCGACCCCAGGACTGACCCTTGAGGCACTCCGCTTGATACCAGATTCATCCAGCTCATATTTCTTTAACTTGCTGGCAAGAATACTGTGGGAGACCGTATCAAAAGCTTCACTAAAGTTGAGGAATAACATGTCCACTGCTTTCCCCTCATCCACAAAGCCAGTTATCTCATCATAGAAGGCAATTAGATTAGTCAGCCAAGACTTGCCCTTGGTGAATCCATGCTGACTGTTCCTGATCACTTTACTCTCCTCTAAGGGCTTCAGAATTGATTCCTTGAGGACCTGCTCCATGATTTTTCAAGGGACTGAGGTGAGGCTAACTGGCTTGTAGTTCCCTGGATTCTCTTTCTTCCCTTTTTAAAAGA